TTTTTTATTTTTTGGTTGCAGCCATTATTGTTGTTTGGCGGGTCCAGGCTGGATTCGAACCTGCCACCTTAGGTGTACGTGGCTGGCGCCTTAGCCGCTTGAGCCACAGGCGCCGAGCCAATAAAAAGTTTTAAAAACAAACTTTCAGAGGTTTTCTAGCTCACCTAAAGTCCCAAGTTCTTACTTGTAAGGCCCTGGTCAGTTTGCCTTCTCTGTTTTTGGTGTGCTTATGGTGGTAAAATGACCAGACCCACCTAAAGCAAGGCAAGGGTGAAAACAGTTTGATGAGGAGAAAGGTTGAGTTACATAGCAAGATATGCTCGCCATAGACGAACAGGCCCCCTTTGTCGCGACAAAAAAGACCCTGGGGTCTCTCTCATTCTGTGCCTGGGAGGGGACCTCCTTGTAGTTCAGCCCTTACCCTGGAACCACTTCGATGGACAGTTAGCAACATGGGAATCGTTACTCCAGGTTACTTTCCAAATCGTCCTTCCCCTAGGTGTGACAGCTGCTCGGGACAGGATTAAGGTGGGGCAGCACTAAAAGGGGCCCGCCTTGTCTTTCCCGGGTGGCCATTGCTCCAGGCAGCCCCAAGGCAGAGCACCCATACTGTATACTTCAAGAGTGTCAAAGGCCCCGCGCTATCTTGCCTCCCACTTCCACTTCATTTGTAAACTGCAGCCACCTCATTGCTGCCTCAGGACCGCTTCCCCACAGCCCGGCATCCCAGCAGCTCCACGCCTCCCCTTCGCCCTCCAAAGTGTCCACCCTCCCTGCTTCCGCCTCTGCCAGGCCTGGAAGAAGCAAATGAACCGACCCTGAGGTCTTCCGCAGACGTCTAGGTAAGGTCTCAGGGAAGACGAGGCCTCGGGGACCCCGCGACCGGTCCGCAGAGCAACCTTTTCTCAAACCTTTAGCCCGGAGGTCCGGGAGCTTTCAGGGACCGTGAAGCCGGGAAGGCGGGACTTCCGCCTGGCCCACCGGAAGCAACCCGCGGCGCGCCGTCCGGGCGAGAGCGCCTGCGCAGGCCGGCGGGGAACTGGCAGCATGGCGTTCCGGCAGGCTTTGCAGCTGGCGGCCTGCGGGCTGGCCGGGGGATCAGCTGCCGTGCTCTTCTCGGCAGTGGCGGTGGGGAAGCAGCGCCCGGGTGGGGACGCGGAGCCGCGCTCGCCCGAGCTGCCGGCGTGGGCGGGGGACACGCGTTCGGGGCTCGGCCTCTGGGATCCCAACTGGGACAGGTGCGCCTCTGCCAGTGGTGGTCTCCGTTCTCGCGGGGCGTGGCCGGAGACCAGGGTGGGGGACGGCTCCACGGGGTGGGGCGGGACCGACCTGGGGTTCTCGGAGCTGTGTGGCCTATGGGCCCGACTGGAATCGTGCCTCGGGTTGCTTGGCCCCCGCAGGTGGTTTGGTAGCGCGTTTGCAAATGGCGCGCGTGAATGCGGGAGAGAGGTTTTAGTTTCATTACATGTTTACAACAGGGTAGGTTTTTAATACGTGTTGAGATGATAGCATATTTGGTATGTTGGATTAAATAAAGTGAGATGTTGAAATTTCACCTGTTTCTCTTTACTTTTTTAATGTTACTACTAGACAATTTTAAATTACTTCTGTTGCTGGCGTTCTGTTTCTATTGGATGGGGCAGTTCCGGAGGAGGGAAGTGGTCACTGTGGGACGGTCCTTTCTGCCCTTGAGAGCGTGAGAAAAGCAGCACAGAACTAATACTTGCTACCAGGGTTGTACACGTATTAGTCATTGTTTTTAACCCTTAATTTTAAAAATAAACTTTAGAGTAGTTTTATATTTACAGAAAAATCACAAAGATTAAATAGACTCCTTTTATATTCCACAGCTAATTTATTAATATGTTAAACTGACCATGGTGTGTTTGTTGCAACTAATGACCCAGTATTAATACGTTACTAACTAAAGTTCATGCCTTGTTGAGATTTTTAATTTATTTTTATTTTTTTCTTTGTTGAGATTTTTTAAAAGATGTTTTTAATATTTTTTTGTTCCAGGATCCCTCATTAGTCTTCATGTCTCAGGCTACTTTTGGCTATGACAGTTTCTCATACTTTCCTTGTTTTGATGATGATGACTGTTTTGAGGAGTCCTAGTCAGGTATTTTGTGGAAGGTTCCTCAGTATTTGTCTCATGTTTTCCTCATGATAGATTGGAATCATACTCTCTTTTTTAAAACTCAGCACAATATTCTGAATTTCTTAGGCCTGTTTAAGGAAACCAATTCACTCCTGAGGTTAAAAAACTTGCTTGAAGTAAAACCAATAGTTGAATCCAGTGTCATCGTATTTAAGCTGAAGTTCTGTGTTTGCTTGTCATGTTTAGATTTATGAATAGTGGCTGGGAAGAAGAGAATTGAGCCTGTTAGGTTGAGGAAGGCCTGGTGACAGAAGGCATGAACCACTGCAGTTAAGTGCTAGAATGGGGACACTTCTGTGTGCCACGTGTCCATGCTGGAACATTCCAGAGCCGAATCTGGTTAAACTGGTTAACTACATCTCTGTGCCTATAGCTCCCAAATGTTTTTTCCTGGCTCTACCAGACCTGCCAGTGCTGTACAACAGGTGCCCCAGATTAGCACAGCCCAAATAACCCTTGCAAGCACCATTGTACCCTTCCAAAACTTTGTCTTCCACTACTGTCTCAGCTCAGCAAGTTCTGGTAGGTTCAACTTGTGCTGTTCCCACATTTAACTTACGAGCCTCAGCTCTGTGAGCCACCAGAAGCTGACTCAGCCTCTCCTCACCAGATAGGCTTCCTTCATATTCCAGCAGCTCTGGAATAGGTCTCTGCGATAATAGGAATGTTTTCTTCCTTGCTGTCCAGTGCAATAGCCATATCCCAAGTGAACATTTAAGATGTGCTTAGTGTGACTGAGGAAATGGAGCTCTTAATTGTATTTCATTATTTTTTATTTAAATAGCCATGTAGCTAGTGGCTACTCTTGGACAATGCAGTTTTGTGGTCTGGTGAAAAATGTCACCAATTAGCCAGACTGTTCTGGCCACCCTATGGATACTTCCCTCCCACTTCTCTATCCTTCTACCTGATTTTGTTCCCCATGTCCTTGGATCATGCTCTGGGTTGTCTGTTTTCTCTCTTACTGATTGTCTGCCACTTCCCGCTAGCACATAAGTTACACAAAGGCTTTGCTTACCCAAAACAGGCCTAGCGTTGAGTTTGCAGGATACAAAGTGGAGTATGTTCTGAGAAGCTGGACTCTAGGGCAGTGCTGAGGGCTCTGGCCTCTCCCCAGAGCTCTTGCCAATTAGTCTGACAATTTGGAAGTACCGTCTTGTTAAAAATACTTAGTGGTGACTTGGGAACAGAGGTCACAAAGACGTATCATTTGTATTTCAACATTAGGCGGGAACCACTGTCTCTGATCAATCTGCGGAAGAGGAATGTGGAATCTGGAGAAGAAGAACTGGCATCCAAGCTGGACCACTACAAAGCCAAGGCCACACGGCACATCTTCCTCATCAGACATTCCCAGTACTATGTGGATGGCTCTCTGGAAAAGGACCGCATTCTGACCCCACTGGGTATGTTGGCGGGAGCCTGCATCCCAGATGATCCCTTGGTCAGCTTTCTTACAGGTTCTTGGGGTGCTGGGCCTCCTTGAGCTTGTCACTATCAGTGATTGTCAGCTGAACTTGGATAGGAGAAAGGCTTTTAAAAATGTCCTTAGCTTTTAAAAATTACTGTGATAGGCATCAAATTCAATGTGAATTCTAGCAGAGACTTTGTAGTCTCCCTTGGGGTGCCTGAAAGCAGCATACCTGGTGCTCTCTACATTTTGCTTGACTGCTGAAGATCCTTCCATTCAGCACTTTCAGGCTGAAAGTGCATCCACATTATGAGGTTCTGTTGAGATAAGACCCAATTGTCCCCTGACAGACCCACAGTCACTGGTTCTTGCTGCAGTTACCAGTGCTGCTGGGAATGTCCTTCCACCTTCATCTGTGCCTCTATGTGGCTGTCTATAGGAGACATTCCTAGAGAAAGAAATGTCAGGGTAGTGTGAAATAGTGTTTAAAATTTAAAAAATATGTTTGAATGGGATATTACTCATTCATATACATATTTGGTCAAAGGGTTTACAAGCCTGTGTTCCAGCAAACTCTGCCCCTCCCTTGAAGAGCTGCCTTCTGGCTTCATCCTGGACACAATTGTAGGAAGTGAAGGAGGTATATAGATGTCACCACATCCAGTGGAAACTGACTTGCTGAGGATGTTTTCAATAGCTGCTAAAACATATGACAAAATGCATTTGTACTTGCATCTAGTCTCAGTAACACTGAGATGCTCAGTTTTTGTATATTGACATCTGTAATCTCACACTACCAGCATGCCACACAGTGGAGTAAGAATGGTGTGAGAGGGCGGCACCTGTGGCTCATTGACCAGCCCCATATACTGAGGGTGGCAGGTTTGAACCTAGCCCTGGCTGAACTGCAACAACAACAACAACAACAAAAAGAATGGTGTGGGAGACCCAGAAATAGTGATGATTCTAGCAGTCATCAGGTGTGTCACTGTTATTAACGAGATCAGATGTGGGGTTTGAAAACTAGGTTGCCTGGTGCTTTTACCTGTTGGATGCTTGGGCCCTAGTCAGGCCCAAGCCCCATGGTGGCGGATACCTGAGGATAGTACTTGGTGCCTAGCTAGGCTTCAGGTATAGATAAAGGAGAGATCCAGGCACACGACTCTGAAGTGTGTTTTGCCTCAAGGTCGTGAGCAGGCTGAACTTACTGGGCTCCGACTTGCAAGCTTGGGGTTGAAGTTCGACAGGATTGTCCACTCCTCCATGACCCGTGCAGTGGAGACTACTGACATCATCGGCAAACACCTACCAGGTGAGTGCTCTGCATGCGGCTGCCTGGGGCTCTTCCTCGGTGGAGATGCCAGCTGTATGTGTGACAGCAGTGCCTGGGCTCCACTGCTTCTCCCCAGGTGTCTGCAAGGTCAGCACAGACCTGCTACGGGAGGGTGCCCCCATTGAGCCGGACCCACCAGTGTCCCACTGGAAGCCGGAAGCTGTGGTAAGTACAACCCCCTCAGCCCACATGCCTGCTGTCCCCAGGCCACCCAGGCAGTCACAGATCTGTCCTCCTGATAGTGGTATTGCCCATGTGCTTGCACAGACGACTCCTAACTATGCCCCCAGCAGTATTACGAAGATGGAGCCCGGATTGAGGCTGCCTTCCGGAACTACATACACCGCGCAGATGCTAAACAGGAAGAAGACAGTTATGAAATCTTCATCTGTCATGCCAACGTCATCCGCTACATCGTGTGCAGGTAGGGCACTGGTCAGGCTGTGCTTGACCTGAAATAATCTTTGACTTGGAGCAAAGTAGTGTGTCAATGTTCACTTTGTTCTGTGGGCTGTACAGGTTGCCCCTTTAAGGGGGCCCCGTGTTCTTTGGGCTCCTAGGTATCTCTGGCACCACAGGGAGTTCCAGGCTCAGGATGTATTTTCTCTGCCACAGTCCTGGAATTAGCCACTTTTCCAAGGAACACCAGGGCTGCATCCATAGTAGAGGCCTCTGGGTGGCAAGGCAAGTTACGTATTTATGTATTTCAAAAAATCTGAATCTCACTAAATGCAGAATTTGACCCTCTGCCATAGATGTAGGGAAGTGTTTGGGCTTCAGCAGCTAATGGTTTCTTTTCTAATGAGGAAAAGGCTAACAGTAATGGGACAAGTCAGAACTGATCAGTGATGCCATTTGGAGCCAGGACCTGGGTTTCTGCATGCATTTGTCGTGGGCCTGTCCCTAGAATTGGGAGTAGTGGCTTTCCCTCTAGCATCTCATGTATAGTCCTAGCAAGAAACCCAGGGATGATTGGGAGCACTGTGGTCTGAGAGGGCAGCTGCCCCAGAAACACAAGGATATGGGGAGCTGGGATTCTCAGGCTGTTGGTGGGAGGGAGGTATGATCTCAGAGCTATGGTGTTTGTCTCAAGCTGTCATAGTTACTCCTTTGTGTACCCGTGATTCCTGCATTTATATGACAATCACTAGGAAGTGACTCCAATGCTGAAAATGTACCAAAAATAATTGGAAATTTGGGAGTAGAGCTCACCTGTATCAGATAAAAGTGCAATGAGGAAAGCTGGGTGGTCACCAGTGGGCACATGACATCCCATTGTGCTGTTCAGTTCAGAAGGGCACCCTGCCTGCTGTGGAGGCAGCATGAAGGCATAGGGTGGCCAGTGATGGGGAGGTTAGAGCAGCACTGAGCTTAGCAAGTACTACCTGTGCCTAAATGGCACTTTTAAGAGCAGGAAGAATGCCATGGAGCCATGGGTCTCTTCTGGGAAGCAACACCACAGATTTCCAGAAATGTGTCTGTTGCACTGTTTCCCTGCTCCCTTGTTGTTATACAGGAAAACCGTAAGGTAAGTTACACACATTTGTGAGACGCTACCATGGATCTGACTCACGTACATATTTTGAGTTGGAATCATGCCAAAGGGGCAGTTCCATTCTTTGATGGATCAATTGCTATTGATCTCAGGCAGCTCTTTCCTCTGATAACCCCTGAAGATAGAGAAGATTTAACCAATGTGGGGCCCAGCACCAAGTGTGTGCAGGAGGCTGTCAGCTCCACTGAGACCCCCAGCCTCTGGCCCTGTCTGAGCGTAGAGCAGAGCATCCCCTGCTGCAGCCCATTTTAAGGAACAAAGCCTCCGGCTCGGTGCCTATAGCTCAACCGGCTAAGGCGCCAGCCACGTACACCTAAGGTGGCGGGTTCGAATCCCCAGCCTGGACCCGCCAAACAACAATGACGGCTGCAACCAAAAAATAGCCGGGCGTTGTGGCGGGCGCCTGTGGTCCCAGCTACTTGGGAGGCGGAGGCAGGAGACGCGCTTGAGCCCAGGAGTTGGAGGTTGCTGTGAGCTGTAATGCCACGGCACTCTACCCAGGGGGACAGCTTGAGGCTCTGTCTAAAAAAAAAAAAAAAAAAAAAAGGAACAAAGCCTCCCTTGCTTTAGCATGTTCTTTCTCTTCCTTGATCCCAGAGCACTGCAGTTTCCTCCGGAAGGTTGGCTCCGTCTCTCCCTCAACAACGGCAGCATCACCCACCTGGTAATCCGACCCAATGGCCGAGTGGCACTCAGGACCCTTGGGGACACGGGGTTCATGCCCCCAGACATGATCACACGGTCCTGAGGGACCCCAAGACTCCATCCTCGTCCTCAGCTCATGATCTGGCTCCAGCCGTTCCTTCTGTCTTCCCTGTGTAGGCCATGTTGCAGTTATGTGTTGTTTCTGAGGAAGAGGCCAGCAGAAAAGCAGAAGTATCTAAAATGCTGCAATTTGGGTATTTCTGGCTACGAAGGGAAAAATTTGGATCAGATGGCCTGACTTCTTTGCAAGGTTTTCTACCATACTGTGATCTGCCAGGATAACTCTGTGGGTTTTAAGGTGAAAACAGAAGTTAGGCCTATTTTGGGGAATAAATGAAGCCTGACTGAGCCCCTTATTATGGACAACCCCCAGGCTCCTGTCGGGAACCTGTCAGGTAGGAGGGCCGCTGAGGGTCTGTTCACAACTCAATTCACTTCGTACATTCTTTGATTTCTTAAAACCCTTTGTCACGTAAATATTTGTCCATTAGATCCTCAACTGGGTTCTTGCTTTGAAGACCTATTTCTCATTTCAGAGTTATAGATCCTGACACTGTTGCATCTGATAACCTACTTTATTAAGACTTGCAGGCACAGGGACTTACCAGGTGCACAGGTGAACTTGGACAGATGAGGCTCCCTGGCCTTTGTGCTGGTCTCAAGGAGAGGTGCAGGCTATAGCCCAGTAGGGGGATCTAATTTCAGTTAACTATCTCAGACTGACAGCTCAATCTTAGTTTGCCTCTGGTTAATCTTTAATGCTTATGGATTAAAATATTTAAACCTGATGTATCTATTTCAAATATTCTGTTAATTTAGGAAAAACAGTTTCAATTTCTATGAAGTGGTTATGAACATTTTCTGCAATCAAGAGAACTGGGATATTTGATCTATTTCTCTTGTCTACTTTGGAAATAAGTACATAATAAAATTTTACTGGTTTTTAAAAACTACTAATTGTGACTGTTTTTAAAGAAACAGGGAAATGCGCAGTGTGACAACAGGAGTGGTATTACCAAAAAGTTCTGTTCCATAGGCTTATGGCTTTGCCAGTATCTACCCAGCTATCTTTGGAGGACTGGGCCAGCCTGGAGACCTCTCCGTGCCTTGGCCAGGACAGCCTAACAGAAGGTTATCTAAACACCACAGCCACAGCAACCAGGCACCATTTTCTAGAATTAGTTTTTACAAACCAGAGACCATGCCAACAGATAAATAATAGGCACATTCATGTTTGACCTCAAGACGAGAAGGGAACCCAAGATCACAACCATGGATTCCTAGGACAGTGAAGGGCAACCTAGTTCCTGATACTGAACCTTAGCAAACTGGGATAGCACTGTAGAACAAGCCTTAGTTTTAAGTCTGGACCCTGGCTCTTCTGTAACCAGAGGTCTTAAATAGGTGGGAGCCTAGGGCTTAGAAGCCAGACCATGTGCTCCACGGACAGCCAGGTAACACAGCACAGTGCTGGCAGGTGGTTTGCTGGAAAGCAAAATGCATTGTAGGGCAGTGCCTGTGGCTCAGTGGGTAGGGCACTGGCCGCATATACCGAGGGCAGTGGGTTCAAACTTGGCCCCAGCCAAACTGCAACAAAAAAATAGCCGGGTGTTGTGGTGGGCGCCTATAGTCCCAGCTACTCCGGAGGCTGAGGCAAGAGAATTGCCTAAGCCTAGGAGTTGGAGATTGCTGTGAGCTGTGATGCCACAGCACTCTGCCAAGGGTGATAAAGTGAGACTGTGCCTCTATAAAAAATAAAATAAAATAAAAATGCATTGTAATGGGTAATAACCACAAAGTAGCTGGCCCTCATTCTCCCACCCCAGGGTTCCTTCCTCTCCATGTCATAGCTGTAGGGTTCATAATGCAAACCCAACTCCTGTTGGAAACATCCTATAGTCTACCTGGATACACTAGCCAATTTAAAGGAGAGGCTGGAGGAAGACCTCAGGAAAAGTATATATTTTTTTTGTTTTTTGATACAGATTCTCACTATGTCGCCTTCAATAGAGTGCCAGGACGTCATAGCTCACAGCAACCTCAAACTCTTAGGCTTAAGTGATTCTCTTGCCTCAGCCTCCCGAGTAGCTGGAACTACAGGTGCCTGCCACAATATCCAGATCTCACTCTGGCTCAGGCTAGTCTTGAACCTGTGAGCTAAGGCAATCTACCTACCTCAGCCTCTCAAGTATTGGGATTACAGGCATGAGCCACTGTGCCTGGCCAGTGTTGTTTTCTTTGGAGACAGAGCCTCAAGCTTTTGCCCTGGGTAGAGTGCTGTACCATCACAGCTCACAGCAACCGTCAACTCCTCGGCTCAAGCAAGTCTCCTGCTCCGCCTCCCAAGTAGGTGGGACTACAGGCACTTGCCACAAAGCCCAGCTATTTTTTGGTTGCAGCCGTCATTGTTTGGTGGGCCTGGGCTGGATTTGAACCTGCCAGCTCAGGTGTATATGGCTGGCGCCTTAGCCACTTGAGCCACAGGCACCAAGCCCAGCGTCCAGTGACCCAGCAGTCTTCAAATGCTTCTGTAGAAACCTTAAAACTCTTGTGCTGCTTAAGTTAAATTTGAAGTCAGGGATGTGATATTAGACTTTAGACTTTCACTGTTATGCAGATACTCAATGTTTCATTTGTTGTGTTCTAAGAACACAGAACAGTTATAACCTAGATTTTCCTTAAAATGGAAACTTTTTTTTTTTTTTTTGAGACAAAGTCTTACTCTGTTGCCCAAACTAGAGTGCTGTGCCTTCAGCCGACCTCATAGCAACCTCAAACTCATGCTCAAGCAATATTACTGCCTTAGCCTCCTAAGTAGCTGGGTCTACAGGTGCATGCCCCCATTCCTGGCTGATTTTTTTTTTCTATTTTTTATACAGACAGGGTCTTGCTCTTGGCTAAGGCTGTCTTCAACTCCTAAGCTCACGCAATCCTCCCACTTTAGCCTCTCAGGATTACTGGAATGAGCCACATCTGGCCCACCAAAATATTTTCTTTTGAGATGGGTGAGAAAGGAATATAACCAAGTACAATTTGTAAGGGGCATCATCTCCTTCAAACTGAAGACTTTGGGTGCCAACTGTTAACTCACAAAAAAATGTTCCCATGCTAACTGCAGCTACTAAATTTGTGCTCATTTAACTGATAGAAGTTTTTCACAACTTTGCTTAAGAAAGGAGCTAAAAACAAAATAAATCTGAGTGCTCACATTAATATGCCATGTCATCAAAATACTACTTCAGATTTTACTAAAAAAGGCATAGTGCCAGGCACAGGTGAAAGACCTTTCTGAAGGCTTAGAAGTAACAGTGCATTTGTGGGGACTGACACCACCTCATACAGAGGAGAAATAAAGAAGGTCTGAAACTGGGAAATAGCAGCAGTCTACAAAACTAGGGCAGAAATAACCATTTTAATTTCGATTTGAGTATTTACAGCAATATACAGGACAATATGCTAAGATTCTAGAGAAAACAGATCATCAGTATGAATATAATATCCATATTCCAATTTCTTTTGAGAACAAAGACACCTTTTTAAAACGCTATTTTTTTAGAATAGGATTTGTTGATTATTCTATCTAGATTTTGTCTGCTACACAACAAATGAAAACACCCTGTGTAATAGTTTTGGATAGTAAAATCTAAATCTTGATTTCTATTTTCCTAACCTGTCTCTCTTATCACTTGAAAGAAACAAGCTGGACTTGAACTTTTGTGCTCAAGTGATCTTCCTGCCTCAGCCTCCTGAGTAGCTGGGACTACAGATGCCTGCCACCATGCTTGGCTGAAATAAACTTTTTTTTACACAAGTTTCAATTCAGAATTTTTACAAATGAAAAGCAATCTTATACCTACATAGTATCGCTGTATATTTTTGAAAAGCAGTTCAGGAAAATTAAAAATGATTTACAAAAGGCACTGAAGTTAGCAAAAACATTGGTAGTTTTTCCTTTTGGATTAAACACTGGAAATGTTCACAAAATACTGCTTGTGTATGAGCAGTTATTGGTTAATTCTTCTTGGGAATCTTGGTAGCACATAATGCTGTATCTTGCTTCTTGCTCCTCAGACTGTGCACAGACTGTCCAGGGTGTAAAGGCTACATACAATAAGCATTACAAGGAACTGACATGGGACTCAAATTTTCCGGTTTCCACACTGTAATGCAATGCTCTTTCATAAAAAAAAATCCCAACTGAAATGAATTCTAAAATAAAGGATAATAAAGGATACATGTCATATAGTCAGCCATATCATTTATGCCCAGCAAATCCTCACAATAAAGTTCAAAACTAGGGTACAATTTACAGATTATTTTATTATTACATCAACTAAATAAAGTAGACTGAAAACTCAAATACTGGTGAAAAATAAAAACAAACACCTTATCATTATTGCTGGTGAATTTTGTGTGACTATTTGCATAACTCCCAATGGCTAAAAGATTTTACCTATGAGAAAAGCTTCTTTTATCTTCTGATCAATAATTTAGATGTTTTTAATGACCCAAATTGTAAACATCACTGCAAGTCTGAGACATACTGTGGGTTCACCAACTCCCTGCCCTCTACCTTCTCCCTTGTCTAAACCACAGGGGTCAATTGGCAGACCAAGAGGGGTTTTGGCATCATCCTGTATCAAAAAGTCTAGGAGGCACCCCCAGGAAAAGCCAAGATGACATACAATTCATTTTGTTTTACAAAACGAGTTATGGTAAGTGCAGGCACTGTGGGACATCTTTCCTGCCAGAGCATTTGCTCAGAGGTCCTAAGTAAGCACATGACCACCTGTCAGTAAACTGCCTCCACACCCTTTCTTCTGTTACAGTTTCAAGCCTAGGAATCTACTTAAAGAGTCTGTACCATTACTATAATGACATTTTTCAAAAACTTTGTATCTGAGTTTGCTTTCATTATAACCTTTTCCAAAATACCAGAAACCTAAATTTGTTATAGAACACTTGCATTTTCTAAAATTTTTACACTCTCCAAGTAAAGATTAATAAGTTATTCAGAATGTAATCTTTTGTGAAATTTTAGCTGTAACGTATTACCCTTTCTTTAAAAATGAAAGCAAAACAAGAGCTTAGCAGTGAGCACCAACCCTACTGGGCAGCAAGCTCGGCCAAGCGCGCCATCCTTCGAAGTTGACTCCCACGTGCGGGGCTGTAGTGCCCAGGGCTGCCTAGGCCAGGGCAGCAGGTGGTGTGGCCAGGTCTTCCAGGGCTATTCCCAGCAGGACTTCTTCCTGGACTGCAGCTGTGAGGGCAACCAAGATCTGGCAGCTGACCCTTGAACTTCCCTTTTAATGCAGGACTTGGCCAACTAAGGAAACCAAGGAAAGTCTGTTAGCCCAGAGGCACAGTCAGGGAGAACAGAGCCCGCAGAGAGAGGTACCTTTGAACCTCAGAACCCCGGACATTGGAAAATGTAAACTGTTAAGGATTTTCCACAAGAATCTCATGTGACCCTGAGTGAGCCCTGGCTGCTCTAGTTTTGTCTGCGACATACCCATTCCACTTTCCCACCCAAATGGAGACCTGTTCTTTGTGTGCAAAGTCCCTGCCAGAGGAGCTACATATGTGAGCCTTGCTATGGAATAGCCAGTGTCACAGAAGAGCCACTAATACGTTCAAGTGAACTGGAATTGGACCATTCCGGAAGCTACCCTCACAGGCTCAGATGGTTCTCCAGGGTCCCACCGTACCTCTGCCTGTCTGAGGGTGAATAGCACAGGACAGCGCTCTTCCATCTATGGACAGCTGGGTACTGACAAGGGTCAATGTCTGCATATTCAAGAGCTGCCAGGACATCTCGATCTAGTTTTGATGGCTCCTCTCTAAAATGCATAATAAAAGGGCAGAGACAAACTTTGTTTTAAAAAGAAGACTTCGAAATATGACTGCAGTGTTAACTCAAGAACATGCATACAAATTAAATGATGTGCAAGAAGCAAATGGCCTGAGCATATACAGCAAACCATCACCAGGCTCTTAGGGTATCCACTCCCAGAGATGCACAGGCCAGTGTGCAGAGGGATGAGTCTCCCAAATCCAGGGAGGTGGCTGAGGGTGCACTCTCCAGTGGTGAGGAGAGTGTAGGAGTGGCAGGGAGAAGATGCCTCTAGAATGTCATCCTAGGTCCTCTATGTAGCAAGATCCACCCTACTATTAAAACATGGTTTAGGGACTGGGTGGGTGGCCAGCTGGTAATTCCAGCACTTAGAGAGGCAGAAGGAATGCTTGAGGCCAAGAGTTTGAGAACAAGCTTGTTGCCTGTGGCTCAAGTGGCTAAGACGCCAGCTACATATACCTAAGGTGGCAGGTTCGAATCCAGCCCAGGCCCACCAAACAACGATGGCTGCAACCAAAAAAAAAAAAAAAAAATAGCCAGGCATTGTGGTGGGTGCCTGTGGTCCCAGCTACTTGGGAGGCAGAGGCAGGAGACTAGCTTGAGCCCAGCAGTTGGAGGTTTCTGTGAGCTGTGATGCCATGACACTCTACCCAGGGGGACAGCTTGAGGCTCTGTCTCAAAAAAAAAAAAGAGTTTGAGACCAGCCTGGGCATATAGCAAGTTAGTCTTGGGTTGGCACTGTAGCACAGTGGTTATGGCACCAGCCATATACATGGAGGCTGGTGGGTTCAAACCCAGCCTGGGCCAGCTAAACAACAACTGCACCAAAAAACCAGCCAGGAGTTATGGCGGGTGCCTGTGGTCCCAGCTACTTGGGAGGCTGAGGCAAGAGAATTGATTAAGCCCAAGAGTTTGAAGTTGCTGTGAGCTGTGACGCCATGGCATTCTATCAGGGGTGACATAGTAAGACTCTGTCCCCCACAACCGCCCCCCAAAAACAGTCTCTACAAAAAAATAGAAAAATCAGCCAGGGATAATGGCAGGTGCCTATAGTCCTAGAAACTTGGGAGGCTAAGGCAGGAGGATCACTGGAGCCCAGGAGTTTGAGGTTGCAGAGAACTATGAAACCACTGCAATCTAGCCTGGGCAACAGAGCAAGACCGTGTGTCTCTAAAAAAACTAAATAAAATGTTTTTGCATATTTCCACTTTTGGAGAGTACTCCATACCAGGAGGCTGGGTACTTTTGTCAGCTGAAGATTAAAACTGTCCCCAAGATGTTATTTCTTTTAAAAACAAATGAAGTTCTCAGAATAGATCTAATCTGGTGGCATTTACTTCCTTAACAAGTAACAGCAGACATTAGAATGAGACACAATCTGACTGGAAGATAACCTTGAAAAGGCATTCAGAAGCCACACACTCAAGACAGAGATATGGGAACTAAAAGTGAACATCATATCAAATTGTGGGAAAAGAAAAGGCTTAAAAGGAACTAGAAACAGTGCCATATGTGCGCACATAGCAGAATACACCTACCCAAAAAGGAAGAGCCTCTTGGCAGGTTCCCTAATGTTGCGGATGGAAGCAGGAGACTCAGGACCACATCTGACCCGGGCCTTGTGCCCAGGGCTGCTAGGACCCAAGGACATTTTAGCAATTCTGGCAGACATTTCACTTTCTGTCTGCCTTTGGTTATTTCCAAGTTGGTCTGTAGCAGAAGGAGGTGCTAACAAGGTACTTTCTACTGTGCCCATTCTTGAAGTCAGGATCTTCTTATCTTTAGTTTCCGTAATATTTTTATTTGGTGCCTTGGATAAGCTACTTCCCAGATTTTGCAAATTCAGTTTATCAAACTCAACACTCAAACCAGAGACAGATGAAAGATGGCCTTCCTCCTCACTAAGGCCCTTTGGTCTCTTCCCACTCAGCATCTGGCTGTGACTCAGAGGATTATAAAACCCGTTTCTGCTACTATGGGGACTGTCCAGTTCTGAGGCTTCTATCAGGTCTGCCTTCTGTTCCAAGAGGAGACTGTTGCATTCTGGGTTTCTGGAAGCACTGATTGTGGGCTGCATCGTATTTCGAGCTATATTTTGCTGATTTTTAATTTCTTCCAAGCTTCTGTCATCCTCATCTAGAAATGCCCCCACAGAGATGGAATTGCTGCACGTCTTCCCACTGCCTGTGGGAACAGAGTGGTGTGAACAACAGCAACCATGAAATGGTCTGTCCCACTCAAGTATATTTCTAAATTCCTATGACCCAATAATACATCAATAAAGCAATAATAAAATCAAAACCTCCTCATCAAATTTCAAAATAGAAAATCACTGCATTACTCCTTGGAAAAGAGCAAGCAGAATAAAGCTCCTTCAGGATCTGGGATTTCACAGAGGTACTTAACTGCATTTTAAAGGTGTATTTATTTTATTATAAGTGAGATACACATTTATTTCCTTTGGACAATTTCCTTTGCCCATTTCATTTTTGGGATATTTCTATCTTTTTTTCTTACCCTTTGTATTTACTTTTTTTTTTTTTTTTTGAGGCAGAGTTTCACTTTGTTGCCCTTGGTAGAGTGCCGTGGAGTCACACAGCTCATGGCAACCTCCAACTCCTAAGCTTAAGCAATTCTCTTGCCTCAGCCTCCTGAGTAGCTGGGACTACAGGCGCCTACCACAACGCCCGGGCTATTTTTTGTTGCAGTTTGGCCGGGGCTGGGTTTGAACCCACCACCCTTGGTATATGGGGCCGGTGCCCTACTCACTGAGCCATAGGCGCTGCCCCACCTTTGTATTTACTTTTTAATATTATTATCAATGTTCTTAGGAGTTACTTTTAAGTTTTGTATAGTCAAATTAACCAAATCATTCCATTCACTGCTTTTGTGCTTTTGAAGCTCTTTGCTCCCTGATTTCTGATAAATACACACCAGTACTCCTTGGTCCTCCTTGTTCTTTCCCTGAAAATATGCCAGATCTTAAATATTATAGAGTCTCAGCCAGTGGAGTTCAGCTTTATAAGTTTTGGAAAACAGCACAGAATGAAGCTTTACTCAACTTTTAGTAAGGCAAATACAACCACAAATAGCAAAACGGCTTGAGTGATGCTGTACTTCTCACATTGATAACACCTATGCACACACCCCTAGATGTCATACCAGAGTTGGGGACTCTGTCTCTGCAGCATGCTTCCTTGTTCCCTGTTTCTTCTTGAGGCTTTTTGCCCATTTCCTGCTGAGTGAGATATTCTTCTAGTTTTTGTAGGCCCTCCTGGGAAGACAGATCAACAAAACAGCCCAGAAATTCCCAGTATTCAACCCAGGGATACCCCAGCTCATGAGCTAGCTCCCTGCAAGAAATAAAACACAATTAACCAGGTAAAAAAACAGAAAAAATACTCACAAAACTGACCATACAGAAAATAGGCACTAATGCTCCAGTGCCAAAACAATGTCTCCAATCTTGGTTACAATTTTATTTTATCCCAAATTTGGGGCTAAAATAATATTTTGCATGTTCTAAAATAGTACTCTTCCTAACAGGGCAAGCAAGACCCAGCAGTGAGGAGCTCTGTTATATACCAGAGTGAACCAGTCACTGGAAGGAGCCCTCAGCCCAACCACAGCCTTCCTCCAACCAAAAAGCTTTATCAGAAGATGCTCAATCAGCGAAACTCCACTAATACACATACTTTTCCATGATCATGAACAACTGCATGAGGTTACTAATGATTCCAGTTTGGGCAAGGCACATGAAAATTTAGAGGTCCTTTATTTGATTACAACATAGTTCAATTTTGTCTTGTACACATTCTTTTTAGGGACTTTAAAAAAAAATTTACAAGTTTCTAGCCACACTTACGTCTTGTGTTTTAAATAGAGGGGGAGTAGCATTTCCTTTTGTACCAAGGAAACATCCATTCATATAGCACCTTATACTAATACAAAACACTAAGATCCTTTAGAAACATGTTGCAGAACTACTTAAGGTGTAGGAAGGAACTGTTCTTTTTTTTTTTTTTTTT